TATTAACTTTATTCAAAAACTTAATAAAAAGTTTTATGAAAATAATGGTTTCAATTATTACTGAATGCAATAATTCAATTACTGGATAATTGAATTCAACTTAAAAAGGATTATATTAATGCCGAATATGCTAAACAGATGTATAAATACAACAAAATAAAACGACAAATGTTCCCAATTATACATCGGTTATTATATACCCCTATTATAAATATATAATATATGAAAACCTGGCTGCCAGACCGTCCTATCTCTGAATACAAAGTATTACCGTATAAATTAGCTATAAATTTGAATCATCTATGATACATTTTTATTCATTAATACACTTTCTATAATTCATAATTACTGTATTAGTATTTGTATTCAGGGATAGGACGGTCAGGCAGCCAGGCGTTCATATATTATAAATTACTTTATATTTACTTATTATACCAATTCCGATATTTATTATCTAATCAATACTTGGATTAAAAATGAATTAATAAATTAGGAAATGAAGAGAAACTTTGATATATCTTTTAATTGTATAGACTTTTGGGTGACAACAGAGTAAATATCTAGATAATTTATAATTATTGCTAATTGAGAATTGCTATTATGATATAATGAATTTAGCGATACCTTAATACAGTATCAGTGTATTTTGGATCAGTATTGATATCAGAAGTGGTTTATCGTTTAAAACAAATAACTGATTTGTAATACTATATAAATATAAATTCTTCGAAATGTTGACATAAATTGTGACATTTTATACAAAACTAATTTATTGAACAGCTTTAATCAAATATTATTGTTATATTTATTGAATAATGAATTCAATACTATTTATATTGACTGCATTGGTGTTGACTTCTGTAAGAAATCTTCAAATTCAATTTGAATTATAAATACAACATTATATTACTCACAGAATACTTGTGAATCAGTTCGCGAGTTCAAAGTGGATCCCGAAAACAACCAGTTCCTCAAAGATGGTCAACCATTTCGTTACGTCTCGGGAACTCTTCATTACTTTAAAGTGCCGTCAGTTTTATGGTTGGATCGGATGACCAAATATAAAGCCGCCGGACTTAATGCCATTCAAACGTATTATAGTTATAACTAGTAGTATAAACATATTATTTACATATTGTATCACATATTCAGTTATATTGAGTGGAATTTTCACGAACCAGAAGAGGGTGTCTTTGACTTTGAAGGCGATAGAGATCTCATTAAATATCTGCAAACCGCTAATGATTTGGGACTTTTGGTTATCCTAAGAACCGGACCTTTCATTGATGCCGAAAGAGATTTGGTATTAATATTTTAAAATATGTTTTATCAATTTTATGATACTGTACCAGGGAGGACTTCCATATTGGCTATTGTCTAATAATCGAGACATGAAATTAAGGACATCTGATCCGTCGTATGTGAAAGCCATCGAAAAATGGTTTTCACTGTTGTTACCAAAGTTGGTGCCAATGCTGTATAAAAACGGCGGACCAGTTATTATGGTTCAGATTGAGAATGAATACGGAAGTTATTATGCCTGCGATTATGGATACACTTCTCATTTACGGGATCTACACATTCACTACTTCGGCAAAGATGTCCAATTGTTCACCACTGATGGCAATGGCGACTCTTTCTTAAAGTGTGGAAAAATAGATAACGTGTTCGCAACCGTCGATTTTGGTCCCGACGCCGATCCCGTCCAGTCGTTCATAGCCCAGAGAGCGCACCAGGAGTTTGGGCCATACGTTAACTCCGAGTACTACACGGGTTGGATCGACCACTGGGAACGACCCCATTCTACCGCCACTTCTCTACAAGTGTGCAAAACATTGG